AACCCCGCTAGAAAAAGCTGCCTCTCCTCTCCAACTAGGGTCTTTAATGTCTTGCCAAACACCCCCCGCTCACTTAAAGCAGAGACGCTGTGTGCTCTCCCGGACTGTGCATTCACACTGTGATCAGCTTGGTTGAACCGGTTACATAATTCAGCCAGCTTTCGAATATCACAAAGCAAACGCAAATATAAACGCAACCGTGAAACATTCGAGTCGGATTGAAATCTGTTTAGAGTTGAAAATGCTTTTAGCCAAATGTTAAAGTTCATCCAGGTGTTGATAGCTGCAGAAGATTAGAAGAGCTCCTCTGAGCTGTGAGACTTACCTGATAGAAACATACGTGTCCAGGTATAAAGATAAATAGAATATAAATATAATATAACTTTGATCCAGAGACACTTGAAGTGACAGGTGTCGTATGTTCTTGGCCTATTTTGGCAAAACACGTAGTTTTTCCTGCGTTGGTGTTTCCTTTCATTACGATACATTTCGTTAACGATGTAAAACTGGAAAAAGTCCGGAAACACACCAGTAAAGTTACACAAGCACAAACCACCAAACCTAGCTATGGTTGAATCTGCTCCCCAGGGATAGTTGTCGTCTTTTTTTACCCTTTTCGTCTGCAAATAAGCGTCTCAGAGACCTCTTACTATGTGCTACAGTTGCTATTAAACCTGTTGATCGCGTTTGTAGTGTGAATCCACAGTAACGGCCTTCACGTGTACGTTTTAGACACTAATCTAACAAGCGGGATAAGTCGAATTTCTTCTCATCCATTGTTTGTTTTTGTTTTTGTTTTTGCTATGAAGATTTTGCTCTCTGATGTGCTTTTATTTATACGTACCTATATATTCCTATAAGAGTTTTAGAGCTACAGTAGTGCTCAGTGCTGCAGTCCCGGTCCACATCGTGCAGTTACTACAGACAGTGTTCCTACTGGTTATGGAATTTCTGGACTATCGTGTACTTTTTCCCCATTGCATCACTGTAGAGGAATATCACAGAATGTATTTTCCAGCTTTCACACATCCATTGAATTAGATTGTGGTTTTATAGAGAGTGGAAACCGGGCTGTTGTCCTCTCTGCCAATTCCAAACAAGAAGAACGGGAGAGAAGAACGGGAGGGAAGTGCTCAGACTTAGTCATGGAAAACCTGTTACAGACGTCCTGTATGGATTCACTTCTCCACCACCTCTCAGCTGTCACCTTTGACCTCAAACTAGTGCTGAGCAAAGTTAGTGTGCATTTATAATGAAAATAAGACGCACTCAAACGTGTTTTAGGTAAAAAAAAAAATAAAAAAGGCTGGCATGTAGTGATTTGTACCACTTGTGTCATAGATTTAAAATCCAGTTTACATGACTAGAGTACTATTTTACTGAATTTTATATTTATCTGCTGATTGTATCTTATGCTATAAATGTATATTGCACTCATGCATTTTGAGATCACAGGTTGGAAGGAAGTGAATAAACAAAAGTCAAACCTGTTGCTTGTCTTTTTTTCCTGTTTTGTGCAAAGCAACAACATTTTTGGACACCAAACTCATTCCTTTCGTAATGTCGAGTGTTCGTGTTCCAGCTTTTTTGTTCTTGATCACACCCACAAATTATATTTTCCATATTTAGGCCCGTGTTAATACAGTCTGCTGAGTTTCTCCAGAAAGAGGAGCTCACTAAAGACAGGAGTGTCATAACAGACAGATTTCATGAGGAAAAACTGTTGTGAACTGTTGACTTCCAGCTTTTGCTTCAGAGGGGTCAACTTCTTCTTAATGTTCGACGTCAGGATTGTTTGCCTGCTTGTTTGCGTTCTTGTTGACCTCCCTCTCGGCTCCATGACAACAGTTCCTCCAGCTGTAATTTCTACCAGATCCAAAATGCCATTTAGCAGAGGAGAGAAGGGATGTCCGGTGCTCATTGGAAACTTTGTGCTGTTCATTTAAACAACACGTTGGCCCAGTTAAGAATCACCAGACCTTGTTCCACTGTCTCCCTCGGGGGGCAAAGCAGTCGCTCTGCGGTGTGTATTTTAGGAAGGAAGAGCTTTACTGTGTTTCATACATAATGTATGTTGAGGGCTGAACATAAGGCTGGATACCTGAGTCATACCAACATATGAAGGGAAGGGTTGTGTTTTATTGAAAACCTGATCCAATCCTCCTCTGCTATGACTGATCTTATACAGTTTTTATGATCACTATGGGCTTCATAGTTTTAGTGTCCCATGATTGTCATAACTTCCAGTTTAGATGCTCATTAGCCACAAAATACATAAAACTTTGCGCTGTAAAACATGTTGATTGAACTAAATTAAGCATTTCAGTGAATTTAAAGGATTTAACATTTTGAGAAATATGCTTATTTGATTCCTTTGCCGAGAGTTAGATGAGAAGATTGATACAACTCTCGTATCTGTACAGTCGATCTGTAGTAGGAGGGTTATCGAAGGTATCACCATCCATCCAACCAGTACCTCGAAAGCTTCCTAGACCTTCCTCGCTGCACCTGACGAAGACATAGGCCGACACATAACCCCCATTAAACGGAGAACTGTTGTTTTCACATAAAGGTTTTTGTACGAATGAAACCAACAAGATATAAAGTGTTAATTAGCTCCAGAGGTTGCAGGAGGCTTTGGACAGAGACAGGTTAGTTGTTTACCCCAACATAGCAACATATTTACCGCAACTTGGCAAGAAAGCGAATAAGCGTATTACTTAAAATGTCTAAAACTATATTCTTTTTTACCTTTTTTGGTTTCATCATAACAAGTCATGACAAAAAGACAAATTCTTGAAGTTTCACAGTTTTAAGGCAGCATGAGAAAAATGCACTCCTATAACATTTTTTATTCTACGTATTCTTCTTTCTTGTCTGAACCTGGCGCCTACATTACCCAGAAAGCAACTTGCTAATAACTCTACACCCCCGGATTCTTTTAGATTTCAAACTTGTACTCTTGATCCTTAACTAACGCTGACTCAAGTGACATCATTTGAGGCAAATGTCATCATGTATCCGACTTCACGCAGCTCCTTCTGGGGCCACAAAAGTCTGTTTTTACAGCAGAACCCTTCAAAACCTGTAGAAAGATAAAATCAGTAGAGATCCTCTTGAGGTTGAACTATATCACAGTGTTTTACAGAACAAAACAGCCACAAACAGACTACATCTGGATATATCGTCTATCAGTGTTGATCTTTAAGGTACGTTAAGGTACTCAGTGTTTGTGTTCATCATCCGTGGCTGAACTGAGGCCCCTCTGTTCGGTCGGGCAGCTTTTCCCTGCAGCACCGCCCAACACCTCCACACTCTGAATGGCTGCTTTGTGTTCACTTCTCATCTATTTTTTGCAACAAATGTTCAGGTGAACGAGAATCGTTGCACGTTATTGAAGCGTAAACAGAAACAGGACTGTTTGTGTAACAGTGTGTTCCCAGTATGTCTAGCGGGTTAATAAAGCAGCCTAAACATTACTAAACCATCGGTCCTCTTTACAAAGCAAGAAACAACAGATCTGATAGTGACGGATTTTGTACCAGGCTGAACGGTTGGTTGGAAATCTCATTGAGTCATCCACATGTTTTTCTACTGATGCCACTCCCATAATGAGTGAGCAACGCACGGGAAAAATCTGCTCTTCAGTGCTATCATATGAATGATTACACAAATGCAGCACCGTGTTCAATTCTTTTCATACATTGTAGTCGTGTGTGCTTTTAAATGTGATGCTTAAACAGTTGGTTTAGGGCTATCAACTATTCTCTTGATGAATCATTTGGTTTATTAAACTTGAGAAACTAAACCGGACCTCTTTAAATGTGTTCGATGAGCAGTCCAAAAATCCAAAAATCTGAATTTAATAACACAAAAGACAAAGAAAAGTAGGAAATTGTCACATTAAAGAGGCCAGAACTTGATAATTTATGGTATTTTTGCTTAAAAAACTTTAAACAGCTTCTAAATAATTTTCTGTTGCTCGTCTAATCGATTCATTACCTAATCCTTTCAGTCCTAGTTTGATTTGAATGCACTTTTATTGTTCACAGTGTGAAATCACCAAGAACCACCGAGGTCAAAACGCCTTTTTCAGGGGTCAAATATTTTTTCCAGCCACTTGTCTGAATCCAAACCGAAGTCTGGAAAAAGTTTGGAGTCTTGGACCCCGTCGTTATGCTGGAACAGCTGCGTGTATGTGCGGCCGTCCCGCAGACTCAAACACATCTGTCCCTCTTCTCTGAAAGCTCACAGTCCCAGTCGCTGCCGGAGCTCCTCCCAGTCTCCCCAACCTTGCCTCAGTCGCTTCCCCTGGAAACTCTCCTGGATTCTTGTGGCATTTTAACTGGCATACCTCCTGTTACACCCACACACACACACACACACACACACACACACACAAGGTCTCTGTTCATGAGAGGTGTGGCTCTTTGGAATGACATCCTTTGGAGTTACACAGTAGAGACTTTTATTGACTACTACTGTTTTCCTGCAATCATCAGGTA